ACAAGAGAGCAGCTTTACTTAGAAGGGGAGGAGCTGTTTCTAGAGTGAACCTCTGGGACAGAGAGCCTGCCCCACAGTCAGGAGGGAAGAGGGGAGGGAACTTTAGCAGTGGGTGGAGGCTGAGACCTGGACAGGTGAGGGGCAGGGCAGAGCACTCTGAATGGGAAGTAAGGGAGAGACCTGAAAGCTGGCTCCCACAGCAAGGTGAGCAGTCAGTGGGATGCAGGTGATCAGGAAATCATGTCCTCCAGCTGGGCCATCAGCTTGGTTTGAATCCTGGCTCTCTCAGCCCTTGCAAATCAGCTAGGTGAGCTTTCTGTGCCTCAGTCTGCTAATCTGTAAAATGGGGAGCACCTCTGCTTTCTCATGGAAGTGGCTGTAAAGCATGATTCTAAGAACTCAATGATGTTTATTTTCCTTCCAGAGATGAGCTTAGAAGCCCCTGGAGCTGCTTCTCTGAGTAGTGGTCATCTCTGTCCTCAACCCTGCAGCCCTGACTCACAAAAGGGAGTCTAGGCCACCTCTCCTCTGTGAGAAACTCACTCTTCTCTTCCAGCTACTTGAAGACCCCATCAGAGGAGACCTTCAGAGGGCCCTGTGTTTTCACAGCAGGAAGCGAGGGCAGGTGAAAGAGGTAGACCCACCCACCTTTGGGTCCCTCTCCAGGAATGAGAGAGCAGGAGGAAAGAGTAAGCTAAACTGTCTAATATAACAGTTTCTATTTCTCCTTCTGATTTTTTCAAAGCAGAACATTCCTACAACTGAACTATAGACATTCAATAGCCCTAAGAGGTAGGCGGGAATAGGGAGGGTTCTCTTTATTTCATAAGTGAGAAGACAAAGATGGAGCTCCAGCAGGGAGTGTGAGTACCCACAGCAAGTAGCAAAACTAGAACTGGCTTTAAAGTTGAAATCTAAGCTCCAGATCACATGCCAGACCTTGTTGCTTCTTGGGAAATCTTCTGCCTATAAAGATGTGAGAGATTTGAGTGGAGATAGTCGGGGACCCTCCCCCTTGGAGGTCACCAGGAGCAGGGGAATGCTTCCTTCTTTTGCTGTTAAGAATGAAGGTGTTTTTTTCTAGCAGTTGCAAGGTGGACAAAACAACCTTTAGAGAAGGACAGGAGTTGAAAGGAAAATCAAAAAGGCAAGGAAGAGTAGATGCCGGCATCAAGGAGAAAGCATGCTCTTACCCTAGGGAGGGGGAGGTGCGGGCTGACTAAGGGAAGGGAGTCACCTTGTGGGACATTTTTCTGCTGTGCTGGGGGTTAGGCTGGTTGAGGTGGTAATAGCCTCTGAAGCCTTGGGATTAGTCTAAGGAGATGGAGACAGCGATAAGGTTGAGGTGGGGGTTGTAGATGAGCTGATAAGCAGAGGCAGGCGCAGGAAAGCGGCACCCAGCCTATAAAGCTAATCTTGGAGGGTGTGGGAGAGGGCAGGCCCGGTCAGAGCTGCACAGAGCAGGTGCACAGGGTCTCTCACCAAGGGCAGTGTCCTTGGGTCAGGAAGGAGAAAGGGGGGCAGGCTCTTCACCCTCTCACTTGCCCTTCTGTGCCTGCCCTGTGCTCTCCAGTTGAAGGGGTAGGTACCAGCAGCCTGAAGGGGACTAGATTGTTCTGAGGCAGGATATAAGAAACTAAGAAAATTCCTTGGCAAATGGGATAGGGAAACTGAGATAGATAATTGAATAACAGTTTGCAGCCATCTAGTAAATCCTATCTTCCCTAAACCAAGGATACTTAAGAGTAAATGGTTTGGTCCTGGCCACTGTGGCTCAGTTGGTTGGACATCATCCCACACAACAAAAGGTTTCTGGTGTGATTTCTGATCAGGGTATCCAATCAATGTTTTGCTCTCTTTCCCCTATCCCTTCCTCTCTCTCTAAAAATCAATTTTAAAAATCTTTAAAAAATTGTGGAATATTATGAACAATATAAACTGATGAACAAAAACAGATCCAGAGACAAAGAAACATCAATCAGAATGTCAAACCTCAGGGAAGGTAGGGGATGGTGGGGGTAAGGGAGAGAGATCAACCAAAGGACTTGTATGCATGCATATAAGCCTAATCAATGGACACAGACAATAGTGGGGAAGGGGGGCATGAAAGGGGGATAGAGTTAATAGGGGAATAAGGACACATATGTAACACCTTAATCAATAAAGAAATTTTTTAAAAAGAGTAAATGGTTTGCACTTCTCTCCAACCAGAGGTTAAGTAGCTTAAATCACCCTACTCAGGGAGATAGATAACTGAAATCCAATTAGAGCCATGTGTCAACCATACCCAAGGACAGATGAATTTAAGGGAATAAATCTCATTTTGGCACATCAGCATAGAACTGATGAATATTCTATTGAGATTCTCCACTAAGACCTTCCCTAAATTCCCAGCCTTTAAAACTCCTCAAAACGAAGGTCCCAGGTTTTGCTCTCCCTCCCAGAAGCACACCCACACCTTTTCCTTCCCTTCCCCCTCTTCTTTCCCCGCAGGTGTTCATTGACCAAACTCTACCAGACTCCATGAGGCTTGCAATCAGGAGAGCCATGGGCAGTAGCAGCTCCTCCTAGGTTAACCCTCTGACCCTGTCTTCAAGGCCCCCTTTCTTTGACTTCCCAGTGAGTGAAAGCAGCCCCACCTAGGCTAATTTTTCCCACCGAGGCCCTCTCCTGTCATTTTTCCTATGCTAAGCCCTTCCCGTGTTTCACTGTCCTGAGCTTTAATAACATACTTTCAAAAATCACCTGGACTCGTTATGAAATCTTCCCTACCCAAGTCAAGAGCCCACACACTACCAGCCTGCCCTAGGCAGATCTGCTCCAGGCAAGGTCTCCTTTCCAATAACAGTCCCACCTGTCCCAGGGGTAGACTAGAGATTTGGAAACTGTTTTCTAATCTGTACGGAGTTCTCTCTTCACTTTTCCAGCTTTCTTCCCCACTACTCTTTCTCCTCTGTCATCTACCGTATCACTACACTTCTGTTGCTTTTCTCCTCTCATTCTTCTGCATGCTTTCTCAGCTTTCTGGGGCCAAAGACACCCACAGACTCTCTCTCTCAGTCAGCAGCTTCAACCCTGAGATGATGCCTCGACATCCATTGTGACTCTGTAATGCATTCCAGGTGCCCAGGAAGAGCAGGTCAGAGCAATGTCTGAACTAGTTTGTTTAAGAGAGCCAGATGGTACCAAAGTAGCTTTATTCTGATGCAATGAGAAGGAATGCACACTTGGATTTTAATGGATAGGAAATATACTTCTACCCACATGCCTACAGCCACAGAGGGAAAGGATTTGAATACTGTACTTGACAACATTAATAGTGATGTTCACTGGCAGGTGGAACTGTTTGCCCTCTTTGTTTTTCGTATTTCTTAAATAGTTCTTATTAAGAAAACAAAATTTAAAGGATTCTTGGTTCCTCCAAGGATATATTCTTCTCGGCGTGGGAAGCTGGGAAGGAGGGTGTTCATTACAATCCAGTTCTTTCCACTCCTGCTTTTTCTGCAAGACGCTCCCCATCACAGCTGCCTTCCCCATTTATGGTTACAAGCTGGGGATAGCTTTTTTTTTTTTTTTTTTTTTTGGCTAGGAACCAATAGGCTCCATCCTCCAAATAGCCGGGAGAACATTAGTGATTTTTTTTTCTACTCAAGTATCGTTCCCTGAACCTGCAGGTCAATGAGTTCAAAGTAGGAATGAGCAGAGTCACCTGCTTACTTTAATCTTCCCACCCCCACCATCAAGTGACCTCCTGGGCCATTCCTCAGTCACCTAGTTACCTGGCTGACTGGATCATCAGGAAGTATATGAAGTAGACAACATGAGTAACATCTGTGGAAATAAATTTCCACACGCAATCCCCTCTCCCAGAAAGATATGTGCTTCTGCACACATCATTACCCATGCACTATTTGGTGGTTCATTCAGGTGTGGAATGCATAGGCACCAGGAGTGATGTGAGTTCATTGGGATAGATCAAACGTGTCTAGAATCTTCTCCCAATCATTCCTATCCACCAACCTCTCCTGTATCTCATGACATATATCTGTTCTGGTTTTCAGAACAGCTCTCCATACTGTCTCCTGCACCTCATCCCACCCCGCCCCATTCCACCCCAACTCACCCTTAACCATAGTCTCTGTCTCAAGAAGCAGGGGAAAATTAGCCACAGCCAATTACTGCCAACAGGTATGTGCTCACCAGGTTCATGGGCAGAGTGGGCAGTGAGCCACTGAGGCAGGTTTCTTGAGACCTGTTAGGTGGGCTCCTTGTCTCTCTGCCACATTGCTTCTTCTCTGAAGACTCTACCTCTTACCAAACAGAAGTTTAGTGAATGAGCCTCTAACAAAGTTTTCTCTGTGACTAAAAGTACAAGAGGGCTGAAACCGGTTTGGCTCAGTGGATAGAGCGTTGGCCTGTGGACTGAGGGGTCCCGGATTCGATTCCGGTCAAGGGCATGTGATTTGGTTGCGGGCACATCCCCGGTGGGGGATGTGCAGGAGGCAGCTGATCGATGTTTCTCTCTCATCGATGTTTCTAACTCTCTATCCCTCTTGCTTCCTCTCTGTGAAAAACCAATAAAATATATTTTTTAAAAAAATAGAAGTACAAGAGGATGTACAATGAGAGAAAAGGCTATTCCAGTCTATCAATACAAGAGGGCAAAGTCTAGAAATGAGGACAGTTATGGCAGGAGGAGGAAGGAGAGTATAGGTTCAACTAAGGCCCAGGATACCCTGCATTCTGTAAGTCCTATTTCCCTTTGTGTCTGTCTTTCTCTTTTTCCCTGTCTCTATTTCTTACACACACACACACACACACACACACACACACACACACACACATACACACACATGGCCCAGATGTACTCCTTTTCCACCCTCTACCTCTCTCTTTTCCCTTCCTCATTTTCAATGGACCCGAGTTTTAAGCACAGCCCAGAACTTGAGGATCTTTATTTCAGGCATCTGGTCTTAGCTTATCCTATGCAAGCCACTTTCCTTTGAGACAGGCTGCATGGAAGAGTGGGAAGCTGTGACATTCAACAATCCTGCTCTGCCCCTTATTTTCTCTGTGATCATGAGTGGATGAGTCATTTATTTTGTGAACTTCAGTAGCCTCATCTATAAAATGGGATGATGACATTATTCCTTTGAAACCTGGCTGCTGTAAGAACGTAATGGATGTGAAAGCAGTTCGCAAACTCTTAAGTCATCTGTGTTGATCTCCATAGTCATGCTCAAAGGCTTGGTCATCCCCTGCTGATTACCCTCCACTCTCTTGCCCAGTGATGGAACTCTCTAGTGAATTGGAATGAGTCAGCCCATGGCTGTGATATCACAGAACTCGTGAGGTCAGAGGTCCTATAGAAGGGAAGGGAAGAAAACGGTGCTGGGAAGGGGTAAGGGGTGGGACAGGGACAGGGGAGGGAGGTGGCAGGGAGCCTGCTGGGCACTGGGGTGTGGGGAAGGCCACAACAGTGGATGGGCAGATCCATGACTTCCCTGGGCTCCCAGCTTCTCAGAGCAGCATTACTGGCAGCCATCTTACTGATGCTGTGGGTAAAGGGGGTGAAGACTCAGGGATGGAGCCCACGCCCCAATGAGAGGAGTAAGAAAGAACAAATACCCTCTACAGGTAAGTAGAAAAGGAGGGCAATCCCAGGAGGCTAGGGACAAATCTGTTTGCAGTCACTTCCAGATGATTTATCAGGCCAGAGGGAAATCTGAGATAGGTTTGGGTTGTGGGAGAATACCCAGGTTCCCTACTATTGTAGTATGAAGGTCTCATGTGAAAGGGTAGAGAGGAGGGGAGAGCCCTATTCAGGGAAATACTCTAGGCTGGTGAAAATTGCATGGAGCTTTCATGAGTATCAGCATACATGCATTTGTCTGGGAAGATGATCTTTCATTTTCACTCTTCTTTGAGGTAGTCCCTCTCTCCCAGATGATGTAACACTTTGGAGAACACAGTTGGGTTGGAAATGGGGTGTTTGTGCTCTTGGGTTGGAGCTGTGCTTTCACACAGATAAGAAGGTACTCCCAGATGGGATCTCCCAGATCTTTCATTTTCACTCTTTTATAAGGTAGTCCTTCACTCCCAAATGATGTAACACTTTGGAGAACACAGTTGGGTTGGAAATGGAGTGTTTGTGCTGTTGGGTTGGAGCTGTGCTTTCATACAGATAAGAAGGAGTCCCAGAAGGGACTCCCCTCTGGTCAAGGACAAGAATATTAATAATTGAGTAAAAAGCCCCAGGACCTAACTTTCCCCATATTCTCCAACTTATTCCCCTTTACTGTACAGGGGCAGGTTAGGATCAGTGTTTCAGTATCTTCCCCTCCCCTGTTCCAGACCAAAATCAAGAGCAATTCGAAGAGTACTTTGTGGCCTCCTCAGTGGGTGAGATGTGGCAGGAGGCAAACATGGTCGAGCAAGAGGATGACAAGACATCAGAGATGGAGAACACAGCTGTTCGTGACCACCTATTCGACCTAGCCTTGTGCTTTAATGTGGCCAGTGTCTTGGTTTTTTTATAAGAGACATTGAAGATGAGGTGGTGGCCTTTTTCCTGGATGAGGACCTGGATATCTACCTCGGTTTCATGATAGCTTACTGACCCTCTCTCCCCTGGGCTTCAGGTCACTACTCCCAAGGAGACATACACACAGTGTCCTGCCCCTTGACTGCCCCTGCTCTGAGCTCCATCCTTCAGGGCCAGATACACCAGACCCGTGCTCTTCTCTTTTCCATGCCCCTCCTGGCTTTGTTCAGCACAGCAGATTAGGGGAAGGAGATAGCTACAATAAAAGTAATAGCAATAAAATCCTGAAACAATTGGGGGCCATATTCCTGAGACTTAACCAGAGCCCTCCTATCCCAATCTCTGACCTTTAGACCTACTCGTTCACCAATCATTGGTTCTTTCCTTTTCTTATGTCTGTGGAACTCTGCTTCAAAGTTTCTCCTTTATCTTTTCTGACTTTTTAGGTAGCACAAATCAGGAAAGAGTCATTAAGAGATAGGCAGAAGCCAAGTGCCAGATTTTATTTTTGGAAAAGGGGAGAGGAGACATTACCCTGATTTCATGGATGGGGCAGGGAGATATTGATACATGTGTATTGAGGTCTCTTTGGTAGCCAGGTTACCAGAGTTGGCAGCGTTTTGAGGGGTTCAGGAGGGCACCACGTGGACAGTAGAAATGTCTAGCGAAGGCTGGAATGTTGCTGAGGGGCCCATGGACTCGAAGGGCAGGAGGGCTGTGAGTGTCCTGAGAATCCTGTGTGCTGAGCTCTCTACACATCACCTAGGAAGAAACAGGTTCACAGAGAGTAAGGAGTAAACCAGAATAGATAAGGGTCAGTAGGCAAAACCTGGTGATGAGGTGGTACTAGGAACAGCAGACAAAGACAAGCAAAGATGGTAATGACCAAGTTCCATGAGAAGAGAGGAAGAGCATTTTCCAATTGTAGGTCATTTAACCTGGCACTAGGCATTCAAGGAAGGGCCCCATGTGTGGAATCAGACCACTTGTCAGTGACTAAGAGGAGAGATCTATTGGAAGAACTCTGTGACAAGGTTTTTAAGTATATTGAGGAATTGAGGGCAGAGTGTACTGAGGGAACATGTGGTACTTAGAGGCTCACACTTGGGGGTGACATCTTTAAAGAGAAATGTAGCCCATAGATAATCTATCAAGATTTGTTTTTCATGGGTTTGTATTTTCAGGAAAAGAAATAAGGGGAGAGGGGGAGTTGAGCTCATTTCAGGGAGGGATTTAGAAGTAGAGATTTTTTTTTTTTGTATTGTTTTTTGAAGGAGATGCTAAATTTGGCAGAAAAATATCTGTGATAATATGAAAGGATGGGCCCAAGGGAGCATGTATGAAAGGACATCTGTGGCAATGGTGGAAGCACTTGGGGAAATGTGTATCAGGAGATGGAGATTCTTTAAGCATTACCAATAGGATATTTATCTGACATGGAGCAAGTCATAATGGGAGACGGCGGCCACCTACCTGGGCATAGCTTCGGAAGAAGAGTCGCTGGGGTGTGAGGCCTAGTTTGGGCAGGGTGGTCTCCCCACGGTGCCATAATAGCATCTTGTTGTATGCCTAGATATGGGGGTGGGATGAAAAGTAGACCTTAGGCTCCAACCTGTGCCATTTGGGGGTCTGGTGCCCTATACACAAAACCCCAAACCAGTTCATAGTCCCCTTTCTCAAGTTTTGCACTGACAGACAGGTCTGAGCCAGGAGAAATGTAATTGTGACAAAATCTATGGTTATCCTAGAAAAGAGGGATCTATTAGGTTGGAGGGGGATTCCCAAGTGGACATCGTTCAGTTGGGATGTTATGGGCAGAAAGCTTTGCAACTATGTATGCATGAGAGATGGCAGAAGGGAAAGTCAGGGACAGGGTGTCAATTTTGTTAGTGAAAAAAGATTCTGACCTTTGGGATGTGTTACCTGCAGTGCTATTGCCAGCCCCCCGATGTCTGCAGCATTCTCCAATACCATGTGGGAGCTATTAAAGGAAGTTACACCATATAATGGAAAGGCAGCATAGTGGTGCTCCAGACACAGCAGCGCCTCCTTTAGGGCATGGGTATCACAGGCTGGGCAGCCCCCAGGGAGTACTGTTGAAAAAAGGGCAAGGGAATGGAATGTTGAGGCATGGTGCAAGGGTGAGGACATGGGGGTACCACAGGCCGGGCTGGCTCCCCAGAGCATTGTAAAGGCTCAGGACTGTCCCACCCAGAGCCCTCACATACCCTCCCTTTATCCTCCTTTTGGGGGCCTTCACCTGTGTTCTCAATGACCCCACCTCCCAATGGTCCACTGATACTCACAGAGCTGGTCAAAGGTGTGCAACAGCTCCCGGGCCATGATGCTGCCAGCAGCGCCAAAGTTCACGGCCCTAAAGAGACAGGGCTTATCTTACTGCCAGAACCCATCAACATTTTTAACCCTAATCCTCCAACCTCAAGTCCCATCCATTGCCACCCCTCCACCCCCGCCACTTCTCCAGGCACAGCTGCTCATCACTCTCAGGAAACATCCTGCCCTCCTTCATGGAATGGCCCATACCTGGGGTAATCAGGATGGAAGAATGGTGGTTGGAGGAGTCCAGCTGGAAAGACCAGCATGTGGTCAGCTATTGAATAGTAAGCATTGACCCCCCAGGGGGCCACCTGCCACCTGTGGGATGAGTACAAATGAACACCAATGCCATCATTTATTTGCTTCCCCCCACAAGATATATGTAGTTGCCCCCAATTACTGTCACTGTTCGTGTTTCCCTGAGCCCCTAGCTTGCTCTCTTGCTAATCATGGATGTACATCTTTGGGATGCAGTGTCTGTATCTCCTTTGGTCTCATACCTATGGTGGGGAAAAGGCCGCAATGATCTCTGGACAATTCTAGCTTGGCGGGATCGAATACCACTCAGGAAGGACTGCAGAAAATTGGGTCCGAGGTGTACCTGGAAGGAGCCAAGAGGTGACTAATATACATGTACCCTGACATACCCTGATGGCTACATTTGAACCCAGACAGATTAGCCCTACACACAGACATCCCCAGTACAGTGGAAACCAACACACCACCATACCACACATGGGCTAGACAGGCTTTACATGTGTCGCCACACAGATAAACACACTCAGGCAAGTCACAAGAATGCATATGTGCATGTGTGCACACACACATTATGACCTGAAAAGGTTTCATTCGTCTGCTGGCAAGACCCACAGTATCTTGCCCATAAAGTCCAGCCAGCAGGAGGGCAAGAAGGGGTTGGTTCAGATCACCAAAGGAAAATAATAGATTGTCTGACACAATCTATTTGGGTGGGTCAGGGGGGTGAAGAAGTTGAAGACTAAGGTGGAGCTGTCAAAGGCAGGGACCCACATCACTGTATTCCTGTTTGGCCAGCGCTGGATCCATGGCCCATTCTGGGTCCCCTATCTTCACCTGTAGCTGGGTGACCTGGGGAGAGACACAGGTAGAAGGAATCTAGCTACCCTGAATCTATCAAAGGGAAGTTCTCCTGCTCACTACCCTGTCCCCACCTTTCCTAATGTCACTAGGGTATGTGTGCCACATGGTGGTGGTACCCTTATGCCTTGGGTACGCTCCTCCAGCCACTGTGATCACTTGATCCAATACTCAATCCCTCCCCCATCCCAACCCCACCCACCTCCACACATAATCAACCTATCTTTTACCCCAGCCTCACCCTATCCTGGGCCTTTTTCTGGGTCTCCTCATCCATCCAGGGAATCCTTCTGAGGCGGGTAATGAGGGCATCCTTTATGGCAGTGAATAAATCCATGGCCTGTGGATTTGAGGGGGCAGGGATAAAGAAACAGGATGAGGACCAGTCTTGGTTTTGGGTCCTGCCCATCCCAGGCCTCTAGAGGCCTTAGTCCTAAGGAGCTGCCAGAGAAGGGGGAAGAGCTCAGGAAGAGAGTGGAAGGTGGTAATCCCTAGGTGGCCAAAAACTCAGAAAGATCTGTGGAGACAGAAAGGGAAAGTGGGAGCTGGCCACTCCTGTGGGTCGACAGGTAAGATCTCAGCCTGCCAAGGGAGGGAGACCCCATCTTTACTCTGGGCTAGGCAATCCACTCAGAAAGTGGAGGGAGGATGGGGACTATCTCTGCTCTCAGGAACTCTTGTCCTCACACCCCCTTTCTTTCTCCTTTTTTTCCCTCACACCTTTTTTCTTAAGGCATGTTTTTCCTTTTTTCTTCTTCCTAGGGTTTTCAGTATCCCAACAAGTTGAAGTCTCACTAGCTTTACAACCTGACCATAGAGTTATTGCTATTTACCATCTCCTGTATATCTTTTCTTAATGGAGGAAGATGGGTGACAATATCAGAACCTGAGTTCAAGTCCTGACTGCTATTTGGTAGCTTTGGGCAAGCCTCTCTGTGCTTCAGTTCTTAAAGTATTAGGATGATGCTTGTACTTCAAGTAGTTCAAAGGAAGTTCTTACAAGAGTACCAGGCACATGATAGGTACTCAAAAGTATTCAGTAGTTATTTATTTTCACTTCTTAAGATTATATCAATCTATCCTAATGTTTCATGTGCTGTTAAAAAATCATAAACAGAGAGTAGCCTTAGAGGTCATGGAGTTCAGTGTTCTCATTTTCTGGTTGAGGAAACACAAGAGCAGGAAAATTGGGTAACTTGTTCAAGTTAGTGCATGTTATGTACCCTTTATGTCTCATAGCTAAACTGTATAAACCCTGGGGACACCACATGTCCTTCTTTGGGCCCTCTCTCTGTGACTGCCTGACTCCTTAAATACACAAACAATTGAGAAGGACACAGTCAATAGAATTAGGAGAGGGTATTTTGGGTAGGGAGGGGTAGAGGGACATGGGCTGGGGAAGAGCCCTCACATACAGCACTTTGGGTGCTTGGGCTGAAGGCCTCATGAACAAACAAGGCTGCCAGGGTAGGCTCAAAGAAGTCTCCAGTATCCTCCACACACTTCATCCATCGAGGGTGGGCGGGCTACAGAGACAAAGTTGAAATAAGATGTTCCCATCAAGGGTCTTCCTCATCTGTTTTCCCAGGCCAATCCTAACTAGTTCTCCTCCCAACAGAGACTGTACTCTTTTCTGGACATTCTGGGTTTGTCTCACTTTATTCTCTTATCCCTTTCGGTGGTATACACGGATTCATTGCTACTTAGGTAACTCAGGCTTAGTTCTCCAAGATTAATCTCAGAAGCATGGGTTGGGCAAATCATACTTGTTTATTGCCTACTGAATTTGAAAGCAAGGTCTCTGAGAAGTATCCTTATGAAGGATAGAAAGGCTCCT